CTGGGCATGGTGGCTCATACCTGTAATCCCAGAAAAAAAAAAAAAAAAAGAAAAGAAATGAACAAATTTGGTTGGTGAAGACACACACCCATCATTTCTACTTTTAAGTGAAAAAATAGCCTGGTGATAACATTATTTATCATTTATTATTTGTTATATTATTTATAATATATTAGAAGATAATTTGTTGTGAACAAATTTAAAATAGTATAGCAAACATTCAGGCATATTTATTTTTGGCAAATGATATACTGCTGATAAAAAAAGGATTACTTCGCAAATTGTGGGATAAACCACATGATAAATTAGTTGACAATTTATTTGATAAATCATGAAAAAAATTAGTTGTTACTGATGATGCTAAACAACCTGTGACTTACAATTAAAAAGCAAGACTAGTAGCAATTTTAACACACAAACAACTTAGTACCAATAATAAACTGAGAAAACATTCTCCTGAAGATTACAAGAATTCCAACTCTACTTACTGTATATGTGTCGTAGGAGTTTTGCAGCATGCCAGTGTTGGACAGCATCCCGACTTCTTAGTAGCAAGCTGATTTGGCATCAGTGGTACACACAATATTGTAAGCTCACTAAACCCAATTCAGCTTCCTTCTAGGTATACAGCTAAGTCACAGTTCGTCACAGGTCGCAGTGAGGTTGGGGCATGGGTGAGCTCTGGCCAATGGGACGTATGTGGAAGTAACACATACTGCACTAGGCCTAGCACACAGAAATGACCCTCCTTTGATCCTCTCTCTCCTCCCCTGCTGCAAGGATCTTGGAGGCCATGTGTTAAATGGTGGCATCACAAGAAGAAAGAAGCCTGCTTCCTGAGAGATTGTGCAGAGCCAGATGAACGCACAGGGCAAAGCACTCACTTTTCCTATCACCATCCCAGTGAACTGCTTTGTGACAAGAGTGAGCAATAAACTTCTGCTGTGATAAGCCACTGATACCTGTGGTTATTACAGCTGACAACCTACCCTAATACACAGTTCTTAATAGACTCCAGACATGTGCTATTTAGATTGAATATTAAATTTCAGTAATCCTTTAAAACTTCAGATTTTTAACAATGTTTAGTTGTACATAAAAATGCATACATCTGGCTTTATGCATCTGTTTTCAGTCTATTAGAAAGATCTTCACAGCCCAGGCCAGCCAGGCTGAAAGTAGGAGGCTAACGGAATGAGAGTGGCATTTCAGGAAACTGTTCTGCTATAGGAAACCGGTATGCTCTACTGTGTGCATTAAGAAAGTGGTCTGCTATACTGTTTGTGTTTATTCAAAATATCTAATACTACCTACCAAGCATCACACTGGAGACTAAGGGCAAAAAGAGGAATGAAATGCAGACCCTGCTCTCAACCTCTTCACGGTAGTGGGTAAGAAAAGTGAGACTAAGCTATTAGTGAACAATGCCATTCCCACAGAAGACAAGACTTACGTAAGAAAATGCTGCAGCAGAGGGAACAACTACTCCTCCCTACAAGAACAGGAAACGCTTCAAAGAAATAGGGGCATGTAAGAGACTGCAAATTAGTAACTTTGGGGAAAAGTGTTTCAAAGAGCCCTGCTCTTTGCTGAAGTAACCCAAGATAATGCCTAATTTCCTCTATCAGTTTTATGTAAAACTATGGGACCTATTCCAAGGACAGAATCAAAATGTGGTATTTTTTGTGGTTTCCAAAGTGCTTTCTTCAGGTGGATTTTACTTAACACTAAGGAATAAAAAGTCTAACTTCTAAAAAAAGTGTGCCTCAGTACATTTTAAAATTTGGAGCATAAAGAAAATTTTCCAGTTTTAATCATATACATTATTCAACCAGAGGGTAACAATATGGTTCCTAGGTACCTGCAATCACAAGTGAGCCAGTTCACTCACCAAGAAGAAAATGCAGTTCCATAGCTACGTATTTTACCCTTAACCTTGTTCAGCATTCTCACAAACACTGGCCACAAGAGTCCAGGAAACTGTAAATAAGTCTATTGAGCACTCCTGAAAAAAATTCACAGCACGTGCCTTACTGATGTGAGTCCCTAGCTCCAAAAGTGCATTTGGTTAGGATGTTAATGTGTGAAATTTAAAATGTCCCAGATAGCTGAGGGTTGATACTGGGAGGAAAAATAGAAATATACTGTTACATAAAGACAACGCTACCTGGGCCATATCCTCCCAAATTCCACTCAAGATAAAGCTGCTTGCCAAAAGTGTGAACTGCACACTCTTCTTGGGTCTATTTATATTCAATTCTTCTTTTTTATAAGATTAACCAGAACCACCCCTTTACTGCAAATGTTTTACATTTACCACACGGATGGTTTGTGATGCAAAAAGAATAACTTCCTAGGAATCTACAAATGTTCTGTCCTCATATCTGGTATCTCATAAATATGAAGAAGAGAAAGTCATAAAGTGAAAAACAACTATTTTTTTTACATATTTGCAATCATTTTATACATCATAAAACAGCTCTAATAAAGTAACTGAAAACAAAGTCGAGATGTGTCAAAATGCCACATGCATTTTTAAAACCCGTAAGAGCCCACATAAATAGCTCAAATATAGGGCAATTAAAGATTTAAGAATACTCAGTAAGCTTTTTTTTTTTCATATGCGCCCATAATGTAAAAACATTATTTTCCTACCATTTCCCATTTTCTTGCTTTTCTTTGACTCTAAAATTAGCTAAATTATCCAATATCCAAGTTATCTCGTACAGTTGTTTCCAACAACCTTCTGTAAAAAAAGTTTAGTAAAGGGGGAAAGAAGCAAATATATTTCTATTTACTCATATAAGATTTAATGTAATATGTGAAGTACAGTATGTAAAATACCAAAATATTTTTGAATGGCATATCAAAACTATAAACTCAATAACATATTGATATCATATAATAAACATGTTATTTTTCTGGAGTATGGTCTATAAACAGAACTGAATACTCTTTTAAACCACAGCAAATATCCATTTATAGGTAAAAGAAAACAAAAAAGTACACTTCACTTTGAAAACTTTAAATGCAAGTTGTTAAAATATCATGGAAGATACATAAGAGAGGTGAGAGGGCACAGCCTAAAAGTGTGATTGATTGTTAATACTCTATATGCTGTTTCTAGTGGGACAAAACCAAGCACTGTTTTTTAGTAAAATATAACATGACAACATATCAAACATAATTGTAGTCACCATTTATAGATTCCCTATTTGGGGCCTGGCTTTGTACTATGTACTTTACATACAATATCATTTATCCTCACTGAATCCTATCAAGTGGGATTATTTTCCTTGTTTCAAAGATGGAGACACTGAGTTTTATGGAGGTCATAGCACTTCTAAGCCAGTATTCCCATTCAGGTCTGTACACTCTCTATTATTGTCTTGAAGAAAATCTTCTATTACGTGGTAAACACTCTAGCATGCTCTTCCAAGATAATTACAGTCATCTCTCAGTATCTGAGAGAGATTGGTTCCAGCACTCCGAGGATACCAAAATCCAGGGATATTCAAGTCCCCTATACAAACTGGTACATACAGTATTTGCACATATACACCAACTCCCATATATTTTAAATTATCTCTAGATTACTTATAATACCTAATACAATGTAAATCTATGTAAATAGTTGTTACACTGTACTGTTTTTTAAATCTGCATTATTTTTTAATTACTATATTGTTATTTCTTATTTTTTTTTAATATTTTCAATTCATGGTTGATAGAATCCAAAAATGCAGAACCTGCAAATATGCGGGGCCAACTACACTCAAGATGGGAATAAATTTACCTTTTCTTTGCTTGAGGTTTCCTTAATCAGCTATTTCATCATTTACTTCTGTCAAATCCATAACCATATTTAAATTTATTCCTTAGCATATCTACATTCATATCTATATATAGAGATATAAATTTATATATAGATTTAAATTCAGATAGATAGATATAAATTTAGATATACTAAGGAATAAGAAAAGCACCATTTTATATATAACTGAAAACTCAAAACTGGAAAATCCAATCTTTCTCATGAGTGATTATTTCTGACTACAAATCATCATATAGATCCCTTGGGTGTACCTACAAAACCCATGAGGGTCACTGAATTCCAATAACAAGCATTCTCAAATAAAAACCACTTCTAAATAGCCATTTAATAAAGATAATTAACATCTATTAGGAAAGCCATTAATACTGAAGCTGGTATTTCTTAAAGAATAGCACATGGGCTGCTGTTGGTCCTTTCCAGATAGCCCATGAACAAATCCCTAGAAACATATCACTGAAATTTCTGGCTTGAACTAACACCCACTGGCAATTCACTCTTGCCATGTCTCATCACAAGCCACGTTGTTTTTCTCTCTAAGTTTTGGTGAGTTTCTGGCTCACATAAGTGGAAGCAGACCAGGATAGAGAATAAGAGTCTTTTATCTTCTTCAGATAAAAAAGTTCAGTTCCAAAAATATATGCTACATTGCCTGGCTCTATAATTATAGAAATAAAAATGTTTTTCAAATAAAATAAAATGGCTTGAAAATATTCTAGTATTTAAAAGAAATACTTGATACTTTCAACTACAAGATTTTCCCAAATAGTAGAACTTCCCCCATATTAAGCTTACCTTGAAGATGGCATTATATTTGAAGCCCTGAATTTTGCTGTAAATGGATTGGTTGACTCATAATCAAAATAGTCGTGGCGATTTTCACTAAATGCATTAGGTGATTTCAAGTCACAAGGGCTATCAGATCCCCCATTGTTAAGTTTATCAGATCTTCTGCTATCTTTTTTTCCAGTCACTCTTTCAAACAGGCTAACTTTCTCCCTTTTCTCTCTTTTATTTTCTTTTCTTATTTCAATTGGTTTTGAAAATAAATTCATGCTGCTGTCCCATGTTTCACTGCTTTCTTCAAATGGATTTTTCTTCCTTGGCAGTGTTGCAAATTTTTGGGGTAATGAAGCAGTCACATTTGTAAACGGGTCATTTTGTCTTCCGAAACACAATTCACCTTCATCCACAATGCTGTCAGGTTGGTTCATTTTAGAAGTATCAAAGCTTAATGTTCTTCTGTGTGGAGATTTGAGACTTCCTACAAACAATTTTGTAGTTAGTACATAATCAGTGACACATTACATCACACTATTTGACACATTCTGTGTGCATTCTGCTGCTTTTAGAATGAGAGCAATTAGCTACTTAAACGTATTAACCTTCAAAAAATCAAGGAAAACAATCTTAAAATGCTAAGGTGTAGCAGTCTGAAGCATCGAGGCTAATAACAATTAGCATATTGCTAGACCATTAGTAATGTATTCAGCTCACAATCATATAAGCTATGATGTCAAAACTAGAGGTTCTGGTTGGCATGATAATGCTAAAAATTCTCAGACTTTTTCATTAGCATTAAATTTACTTTCTTACTTCTGAACATGAAAGTTTTCTTCTAGGGACTTTATGATGAAATGAACATTCATTTATGCTCAGGGTTTTGAGATGGTAGAAACAGCAGTAAAACAGGCAGCCAGGCCATAATAGGAAACTGGCACTCATTTTATTATCTAATAATATAAATGTAAATGCAGACAAGCTCTGCCTTCAAGGAACTTACCAATTTGAGGAATAGTAGGTACTCAATATTTGATGAATGACAAAATTTGGAAAATACTACAAAGCAACTGTTATTATTTACTAAATTTAGGAATTAAACTTTAAAAATTAAAAGGGTAGTTCAGACCAATGAGGACACAAGAATGTGGCACTTACCACTTTCTGGAACTGTTCCAAAGGAATCTAACTGGTGTCCAAGAAGATGTGCTTGACCTATGGTGCCAGCCTTCAGTTTCTCAGAAGACATATGGGACGCAGATAAATCAGACATTGAATGCGCTGACGAGAGTCGCTGAGGACCCAAAAGAAAAGGCTTTTTTGGTTTGGATTTCATCTGTATTTCACCACTTGAAAATTCACTATTGGCATCAGGCATGTGAGTACTCGGAATGATTGCAGAAGACGTATCAGAAAATGTTCCATCATTTTTTCTACCCTTCATCTTATCTTTTAACTTTGCAAACGGAGATCTGGTTTTGTCCTTCATTGATAAGTCAAACATACTTGCGGTCATATTGTTCCTCATAAACTGAATATTGACCTTTATCTCACCCCTGTTTTTGATTCGTTTTCCTTGTTTGGATTCTAATCTAAACCACCTTAAAGAGAAGAAAATAAAAATGGGCTGTAATACATAATGAAGAGAGGATACTGAGTTCTGTTACATACAAATAGCCTTTTAGGTAAAGTAACTATACATCAAGGCAGCCTAAGCCCTGAACAAGAATCTGTCAGCCACAGTATTTCCGGCTTTACTCATTGTTTAGTTTAAAAAACTGATCATTGCCTCTGTGATGTAACATATACTGTAGAAATGAATAGGTCTTTAGCAAGTTTGAAAATGTTTTTAATCTTTTCTTTTCTGATTTGAAAATCACTCATCATCAAAAATTCTTATCAATGCTAAAAGTTTTCCATATGAGACTAAGTGTTGCTCATGGCCTAAGGACATTTTTTTAACATTAAAAGACACTGAGGCAGACTTTGAAAGAATTCACCAATACAAATTATTTTTGAGCATTATAAAATGAATACTGATGACATTTTAACACAATAATAAATACTTGGCCCTATCCCAAAATATTACTTATGTAAAAGTAGCAAAAGAATTTTGTTAACATTGGAGATCACTATATACAGCTTGCTAATCATTAAAACAGCATATAATGTCACTTAGATTGATATAAAATGGATCAAAGCCTATTCCTGAATAAAACATGCAAAATAAGTAAAATGCAAGAAGTGACAAAAAATAAATCTTGTGAAATTTTCAAAAGGAAAAAGAAACCTAAAATGCTTTCTTTTGAATCTATTTGCTTCATTTTACTATTGCTACTGTGACAATACCAAATAAAAATTATTTTGTAAATGAAGCCAAATCTTGTATTTTAGTCACTTCAATGTATGGCACTATCTATATTTAAATGATGTACAAGAAGCAATATTTTGGTTTTATAGTATTTTTATCCATGAGAAATTCTCCAGTTGTCCACGTCACAAGTGGTCATTCTATGGGAAAACAGCCAAAAAAACTACAAAATCAAGCCTGAAAGAGTTTCTACAATGTTTTCATATAACTTAGCAATGAGGCATAATATCCATTCCTGTACACAGGTTATTATTTAAATATAGCTCTAACCGAGTGTAACAAATTTTCTTAGCTACAAAGGAACTCTGATCTAATTTTACATTAGTTCTTTCTCTCATTGTTACCAACTGGATATGCCAGGAGAAGATTACATTTACTGTATATCAAGTTGAAACACTGGTTCACAGGTCTTCCAGGAAGAACAGAGAACTGGCACATGATATAAATACCAGCTACATCTTAGCAAGTAACACCGAAGAAAAACATTTTCTTGATTAACTAAATTGGAGCAATTCAATCAATTCAGATATAGTTGCATCAACACTAGCCACTTCTTAGAATATCAATATTTTTAAATGGCATTAGCTTGAGACCTTAAACTGAGAAAATTCCTTATGTAAGGCAAATGGTAAAATCTGAAGAAACAGGGGCTAGAAATAAGAAATGACAGCAATAAACTCTGTGAAATAGGCAACCTTAAATAACATACAATTGAGCACTCAAAAAGCCTGGAAATGAAGTAGATTATACACCCAGTTACCTCCAAGTTTTGGCAAACAGAGCCATTTTCAATAGGGAGAGAAACACATCTGATGAACAGTATCTCAGAAATACTCTGTAGTACCTCAGGTTTTATAGAATGTAGGTGAATATACTTTGCAAAAATATGTACCAAAAATATGCAAACAAAAACGAGCATGTATGTAACAAAGCAAATATGAGTTTAAAAAAAAATCATTACCCCCAAAATGGAAGGCAGTGAGGTAGTGGAAAATCATAGAATTTTAGAAATAAGACCAATAAATCATCTACTTTAACATCTTTATTTCATAGATGAGGAAATTGAGGCACAAGGAATGATATGTAACTTCCCAATGTCAGATTAAAGTCAGTAAGGAAAAAAAATCTAAAGTTGATGAATAACATCTGCAGGAAAAGAGAAGCTCTTTCTTATTTGATGAACCGCATACGTTAATAAGGTTAACCACATGGCTGGCACATACTGCAGGACACTGTATTTAATCAGGAGACATGAGAGCTGAAGAGAAAGACAATGCAAATTTTGTATTGCTAGAGTACAAGCTCCTGGAAGGCAGTCTGCCTTGCATTAAATGTTTATTCAATTTTTATTTCTAGAACTATACTCTTACAAGTAAGCTACAACTGTGTGTGTGTGTGTGTGTGTGTGTGTGTGTGTTTTATATTGTCTTGTTTTTCAGTAGGGAACTGTAAAGACCTGTGTAAACCTGAATAAAGCAAATCAGTATTTGACTACAAAGTGTAAATACACTATAATGTCCATTCCCCACCCCCCGAAAAAAACTACAAAGAACTTTTACAAACATACTCATTGAAAATGTAGCAATGACAAATAACTTTAGTTGCTTTGTTTTGAAAATGATGTAACAGGGAAGTCTTAATGAGATCTTCACGAATCATTTCAGAGATAGCACTTGTTTTTCCAGTCTTCAGAAAGATAAAATGAAGACACAGCATTTGGAGCTTACTGGACTAGCTGACTTTTTTTCACCTCTGGAGTACTGGATTTAAACTGTACATGGCCTCTGTTCAATTTTTAGTGGACACAGGTCCATGTTCAAAAACCAGCACACATGTGGGAACTATTCCCAAGCAATTGGTGCTGTGTGGTCAGAAATGGGACAAAATTGGCAGTAAAGGTGCCAGAGGCCAGGACACAGGTGCACCGCTGAGACACACACACATCCTAAAATCTGCATATGTTTGAGTCATAGCTAACTCTAGAGACTCTAGTTATTACTCTTCATGAGCATTAAAAAAAAAAAGTCAACATCACCTACTTCTTTTGTAAAAAATCAATGGATATTATGTAACAGCATCGATTATTTTAACATTCTATTACTAAACATTGTATTATTTCTTTAAATCTCATGCCAGAACCAACCCAGACATCCTCTAAAGGAGGACATACAGAAGTTCTCTTCTCAGGCCCACTCAAAGGGTTCTGGCTCAGGCCTTTTTCCCCATTCCTTAAGAGAAGAGAGAAAAAAAAAATTTATTTTCAAGGTAAGAAAATAAGTAAAGTAATAATTTTAGTTGTCATACTTCTTTACCTATCATGACGCAACTGGAAGACAAACTGTAAACATACATCTTCAGTATCAAAATGTAAAAAGTGTCACATCCAGCAGTTTCATAGGACTTCTAAGTCAGTTGGTAGTCCTCATCACTGAAAAGTTTTCTAAAAAGCACTTGGGAATATGCTGACAAGGTTTAGCAATGTGCAGAATATTAAATATCTTTCTTGCAATATACCAGTGGCTCAAGTCTGTCTCTTACTGGGCCACAAGTACAGCTGTGCTAGAAAAGGAAGTTATTAAATATATTAAAAAACTAGAAATATTACCAATAAAGATACCTCATCAAATACATGGTCCCCATTTATCCACAAATAAAATGTTAGGGGTTTAATAACATATGAAAATCACTTTGAATGCAAAAACAGCACAAACCCTGTTGATAACATTTAAAAGCATTTTTCCCCTAAGTTCTAATCAATTTTATACAATAGCCAGTACAGAATTTCTGTAAGGAGAGACCACAATATAAGAGTATTGCTCACAGCAAATGTATTGTAACTGTGATGTTGCCCAGGACTAGGAGTAAAACAAGAAGAAACTGTAAAAGGTTATTTCATCCTCAGACTCCTTGGGTTCACATTTGGGCCTACTTTCACTAGGAAAATTTATGTTTCGGAGAAGGCCTGAAATACATGATCCATGAATATTAAAGTACCATAAATGAAGTGAGGAATTTGAAGGTGCAATATACTTAATAGTTTACATTCAAAACATGTTAAATATTTACTGTCACCCAAAATTGGCAATTTGAAACAGATTATTTGGTAATTATCCATTTTTCACTTTCAATTTGATAAAGAATCCCTCGGAGGAAACTGAATGCCACTCTTTAGGTATCAAATAATTTTATTATTCAAATCATTGATATATATTAAACTTTACACTTAAAAAAAAAAAACTTTTTCCCTCTTTCTAAAATATTTTCATCTCAATTAAATAGTACCATTTTTCCTCCTGCCTTCCTAGTATTTCTGATCTGTCTACACTTTTACTCTACATATATTAAATCTTAGGTAAAGACCTAATTTGAAATGAAACAAACTCCAATCAAGAGAAGGCTGAGAGCAGAAATATATAGAACAAGAGATAGTTGTTTTAAAATGTAAAGAATTAACATAAACTTCAATAAAAAATATCATTATAAAAAAGTTTTTTAAACAGTAAATAAATTCAGTTATAACTGAACGAAACACCCACACTATTTTGGAAATGGAAAGTACTCTTGGAAGTTCAACCAGTATTTTTCTCCCACTAATTTCATTAATATAATGTCCTTTTAAGTTGATGGAAGGGGTGAGTATACCCACCTCTAAAAGCATTTTTTTTTTCAATTTAAGACACAATATCCTAGTGTTAATTTATATTATGATTTTTTAAATTAAAATATATCTAACTCAAGCTCAACAGTCATACTGAAAAGGCCACTGAAGATGTCATCAAATCATTTCATCACAAAAATCTATCATTCCCTCCAATTCTACAGCATTTAGTATGGTCTAAACACAATAGCTTTGGAAAACCAATTCTGAAGTAATACAATAACTCTGATGTAATTGCAAATTCAAAGGAAAATGTTAGTGCATTCGAAGTTGAGGATGTTTGTACACACTTTTAAAACTTTTTTTTTTTTTCTAACAGGTATAGACTCCCATCAAGGCGTACTGACCTCGAAAAATGAGCTAAAATGAAAGCTGTGTTTATAACGTTGAAATGAAATACTGAGTTCTAAATCTGGTAATTTATCTTTCGACAGCTACAAAGTGTGACACATCAACATTACATTGCGAGATTTAATTTCTGATCTTCCATTTCATTGATAATTGTAACGTTTAAAATCCATAACAATTTATATGAAGTTCTAGTTGGTCAACACTGTGATCCAGTCCTCTTATACTGAAACAATGTTAACTTACTTAAAATCCACCGCAAAATATTCAATTATTTGACAGGTGTTTACCTCAAACAGAAAGAATAAGGGATCATTAATGATTCCATTTAAAAAATATTTCATCACGAGTGCTACTTTTACTTCAGATTCATGCAAATACGGTGCTTAAAACTGGATCATATTTCAATCCAAAAACCAACGCCCGAAGTATACGGATAATTTCCAAGAACAGAAAAACCATAAATAAGACATAAACTCCCCCAAATTCAAAATAAATTACATAACTTACTCTGTTTTCCTTCTTTGTTTGTCCTCAAAGATGTCATTGAGATTGATTGCCACCTGCCCTAAAAATTTATCCAGACCCACCAGGGACCTGTGCATAACTATAAGGAAAAGAATGTATTTCTCTGGATTTCCCTGCATTAGCAATCCAGGTAGCTCGAAAGAGGCCTCCTCCTTCCAAACTGGCTCAAGGGTTTTCTCAGCTACAGAGGTGGAGTACTTTTCCTTGCCCAGTTGAATTATAGTGTATGTGTCATTGGTGCCACTTTTGCCTTTTGGCTTCAGATCTTTGGCTTGGAGCACTGTGACCTGCACGTGGGTTGGAAACCACTTTTGGGCTTGCTCGGACAGCATCATCCTGTCTTGTTTCTCTGCATCCGAGTTCACAAGCACAGGCAGTGCCCCTCCCGGAGGGAGAGCCTAATTCCTTAATCACTGCATCCTAAGGGCACTTAACGGAGACAGGCAGGCTCAGGGCTCCCCGACTTCCCTACGGCTGATGTCAAAACGCTTCGCAGGGGCAGCCCAGGGGCACAGCCGCTCCGGGGGTCCCCTTTCTTCTGGAGAAACACACAGGCCCACCATCACCTGGCCGCGCCGTGCAGGCCTCTGCGCGGACCCCCGCTCCAGTCTCCACCTTCCCCAGGCCTGCAGGCACGTGAGGCCTGGCCACCGGGACCTGGGCGGAGGGCTGTGGGGGTGGAGGGAGCCCCCCTCCCCAATTCTGCACCCCTGGCCTCCCGCCTGCCTCCTTGCGGCCGCGCAGCCTCCGCTGCCTCCGCGCCTCCCACCCGCCCGGCGTTCGTCCACGGGCCCGGCCCGGCTCCTCCTCCCGACCCCGGTAGTACGAACCGCCGGCGGCTAACGCGGCCTCGCTCCCTCTCGCAAACCTCTCCCTCCTCCTCCTCCCCCTCGCCTCAGCTCCTCCTCTCGGGCGGGGGCGGGTAGCCGGGGGTGGAGTGGAGGCGGGCGGGGGACGCGGCCGCCCCGGCGCCGACAGGACGCAGGGCGGGCCGCGGGCTGCGGGCTGCAGGGCGGCGGGCGCTGGGTTCGGCCTAGCTGGGCCGGCGGCTCCTAACCCCGGACGGGCGGCTGCGGCGGCACTTCCGGGTTGGCCTTCTCCATGTTGGTCTCGGGAACGTGAAGGGGCGGGGCCTCGAGGTCAGGGGTCAGCGCCTCCCTGGTTGCCGTGGCGACTGGAGGCACGCGACGCGGGCGCGATGGCGGGGACTCTAGGCCAGGGACTTGATGCTGCTTGGGCCTGGCCCAGTGGCGGGTCCTGGGGACGTGGCAGAGGCCGGCAGGTGAGCCCTGGGGAGGGCTGGGGACCGCTCATGAGAGGAGGTCATCAAAGATCCGGAGACGCCCCTAACTAGGGCGTCTTTGAGGGCAGGGAATCTGTTTTCGCTGTGTCCTGGATTCCCAGTGCCTGGCATGAGCAGGTCCATAAATGGTGTTGGAACGAATTAGGCCTCATCACTGACCGAAAGCAAACTTTTCTGCAACCTCGTATCCGCCCTTCTCTTTTCGAAAAGCCCGTAAATTGACTGAAAATGATATCTCCCACCCAGACGAAGGGCGATAGGGAAGCAAATAGTTTCCAAAACTAACACGGAGTAGAGATGTAGGGAGGCACTGGGCTGGCATCAGAAGACCTGGTTCCGGCCGCGCCTCTGCCGCTATCAGTGTGTGTGACCTTGGCCGAGGCATTTCACCTCCCGGAGTCTCAGTGTTTTCACTAGTAAAAAAGCCAGTTCTACATCATGTCTAATACTCCATCACGACTCTATGGGCTTGACGTCAAAAGGACCCCAGTGGGGACTCACACTGTGGTAGACTGTGCAGATCGTGTGGAGACCACGCCCCAAACATGGGTTTCGAGTTTTAGGAGATAATACATGTGCCTTTCCTAGCACAACGCGGCGCATAAATCTCCTTTTGCCCCCTCTATTTCTCAATGGGAAGAGACACTTAGGTACTAGCCCTATTACCTTTAATTCTGTCGTGTCTTACCTTCCCAAGGAAATTCTCAGTTTTGGGACTGCCTTGTCTATCATGCAGTCCCTTCATAGTGGCTAGCATGCAGCAGACAATTTATTGAATTACTTAATGCCTTTTTTCCCTTTACAAGACTAATTTTGAGAGTGAAAAAATATGATACATGTAAATGCACGTTTTTTAACTTAAATGGCCATAAACATGTAAAGTATCGTGTTTATTATTTTCAAGCAAGGTTTAAAACTTCTCATTCAAAGCAGAATTTTTCATCCCTGGGAGACAGTGTATGAAAAGGCCATGTGTGGAAAACAGAACAAAATCATCATACTGCGAATATAGCATCTGGATCCCAGAGTGCACAGTTGTCAACTTTAAAGAAAAATATTCTTAGGGATTTTTAAGCAGTACATTGGAACAGTCAATGGTGGAATTTCACCAGAATCTCTGGGGAGAAATAATTTGACGCCTGAAACTTACAAAAACCAAATAAGCATCATGAAATCAAATTTAATTAAGTTTAGAGTTCTTATACAATACATTTTTAAAAGTCTTCATGTCTCTATTAAAGGTTGTAATTAAATAAACAATAGAAAATGAATTATAATAGTGGATGTGTATTTCTGAGGAGCTTAAATTGTTTGGTAAGCTTTATTAATGATTATAAACTTGTTTACAAGTATCATTTCACTCATCTCTGAAATATAGCCATCTCTAGGGTAGAAGTTGGCAGCAGTATTTCACAGCAACGCAATAACAATACTCCAGCACAATTCAGAGAATACTCTAAAGGCAAGAGCTGAACAATTGGAACTACTAACCTCTCTTTGTGTAGCACCTAAATTTCTTTTGAGTTTTCCCAACACCTGGCTAGAGCCAAAATTGTTTAGTTTTACTGGTGAAATCAGAAGTTATGACTTAATATTTTTTAAGCCAGAATAATAAAATAACATATTTTTGCCCCTGGGGAAAGCAAATAAACAAACAAACCAAATAAGCTAAATAGAATCTGAGATTGCATTATAAAAAGGAAATGACTTCCTATAGAATGTTTTCCTTTTTTGATTATATTAAGAGAATAAAAACATGACAGTTGAGTCAAAGATATGGTTGGCTTATAGTGAAAAATAATGGCAATTACCTAAGATCTAGGATCAAAGTGCTTCTCCCAAAATGTTTATTGCTTTACAGTTTTAAAAATTTTTACTAATTCTAAGATATACATGGACAACAATTTAAAAAGGAAAGGATTGCATGTGTAAGGACAACATACCAGAATTGAAGACAGTCACTTTTTAAAAAATTGTCCTATGACTAATGATATATCCGGAAATGTTTGGTACAGTTCCAAAATCAGAGTCTTGGGAAAATAATGTATTTTAGAAGGAAAATGCTGAACATTCTAATTTTAAACTGTTACAGTGCCTACAGCAATGAGTAAGAATGCTTTGACGAGAAAGTTAAAATAGTCAATATTTATTCCCCAGGAGTAGAGGATTTCAGAGATGAAAATATTTACTACATGTTGCTCCTTTCAGTCCCATAAGAAGACTTATTCTAAACATTGGGGGAGATTTTCCCTTTGGACAAAGGCATGTCTAAAATCACGTCTTGCAAATCTGTTGCAGAACAATTATAATGCTCTCATGTTTAAATAGCCCACTGGGTCAAGCATGTTAATGCTCCCATATATATTATGTAATGGATATTAATTATTTTCCAGATGGAGATTCAGAAACATAAGGACAACAAGAAACTTTCCCAAGGTATCATTACAGTCCTCAGACTTCAGACACACACGCACACACCTCAAATATATACACAACTGAAATGTATATAAAATTCATATACACGTACATATGACAAAGCCCCAGAGTTATATTGGAGGGAGATAGATAGATAGATAGATAGATAGATAGATAGATAGATAGATAGATAGATAGATATAGATAGATCAATCTCTGCGTAACCGTTTGAAAAATGAAAGAGTATTTGGCAAATTGACTTGAAATTATTACGGCAATGAACTAGCATTTGGGGATTTTTGGTAATTTTTTTTTTTTTCATTGCTGAACTGATCAGTTTCTCTTCTGGGACTGAGCAGTGTGTAGATGCAGTTTGTGATGCCCAAGAAGTAATGTGGTATGTATTGTAAAGAGCTCTAGTCTGAAGCCTGGGTCTTAATCCCAGGTCTGCCTATTACTAGATACATTTCTTTAGGGAAGTCATTTTTCTTCTTTGGGCCATCTTGTAAAATGAGACTTTTATAGCAGCCACTAAAGGATCCTCTAACATTTAAAGATTCTACATAGCATAGCCACAACGCAAAGAAGCAAATTGTATTATAATTATCTAACTGAATTTGGTCAATATACTAAAGCAGATTTCCTTTTTATGTAACATATTAATAAAGAATTATCTAATTCAGGAGAAAAAAATTATTTTTCAAGATGTCCTGAGAGCTCTGTCTCCCAAGTAAAGGTAGTTGATAATCACAGAAAGCAAGTAAATATAAGTTTTATTAATAGGTCCTGCATGAGGCAGTTGACACCAACAGCTCAAGGTTTGGAAGAAATTGCATGTAGATGCGAGTGGTTTTGAGAAGCCTTGAACTTTTTAATTGTAGTAATAAACATAACTTCCATCTGATTATTTGGAGCTTTTTTGAACTGTGAAAACATGCTGAGATTGGTAAGAATTTATGGAGCAAAATACACATTTGCATATAAAAAGGTTTCGTGGGGGAACATCTTTCAATTTCCTTTTCATAGTATCATAGTATTCTGTTGTATAATTTTTATTTCTGCAACAAAATGCATATTAATGCATAGAACACAAATTGATTTACTTTAACTGGTATGTGGTATTGGGTGAGATGAAGAAGCCTCATTTGATCTTTTCTCCTTCCAAAGGACATTTATTTCCACTTTTTCAATTATCATAAATAATGCTGCATAAACATCTATATATGTCTCCTATGCACATATGCAGGGATTTTTTTTATTTTTTTTTTTACAGTTGATGATGAAATTATTGGGAGTTTGTGAATGACAGTATGGAACACCCGTGGGCCTGAGTATTAGACTTGAATTCTAATCCTGGTTCTACAAACTAAGGAGTTATAGAGCTGGCAAGCCATATTCTGTCTGTGCCTCAGAGACCCCTTCCAAATCCAAAATTCTCAAATTCCTTTTGTTATATTTACTGAGAAGCAGAGATTATTGCTGTTGGAAGAAGATTTTGTGACTACTTTGGTATTTGTCTTCAAATTTCAGTTGTCTCATCATCATGAGTCTTTCTGAAATCTTCCGGAACGTTGCTGCTTCTATGGATTTAGGTGCAGGTTAATAAGGGCTAGAGAATTTTGATTATTCCTGAAAGCAATGATTAGCAGAGTTCCATAAACTTACCATCTTTGTACTTTGTAAACATCTGCTAATTTTTTTATGTTCATTTAAAATCCAAGACGGGCATTATTTTTTAAACAAAGAATGGGGGATTCAAATTATAATGTTTCTGGTGCAGCCTGGAATCCATAAAATTTCTGGGATAATATTTCTGGAAATATGTTCATTTAGAGAGCATTAAACTGGTGGGTGGCTGACAAAAACGTGGTGGTGGTGCTTTTTCCCCCATGTGAGATCTAGCGTTCGCTGCCTTTCTACTTATTTGATCTATGTTAAACAAAGGAAAGGGCTTTTGTTGTGTTTTGTTTTATTTGTTATATTTTATGTGTTTGATATAAAGCCTGGGGGAAAAAAAAATGACATTTTGAGGGATAGATCCAACTCTTCTTGTTCCAGGGCCAGATTTCAAACATTTCTCCTAAAGCAACTTTCAACTGACCTGAACAATATTTTAGTCTATCTGGATAATAAAAGCACTTTGGGCTTAGAACTGTGTGCTTATCTTTTACACATTCTGGGTTAGGTCACCTTCAGAGCACCTATAGGTTGTAATATAGGGAAGAACTGTTGCCAGTATGTATTGTAATCATTTTCTGGTTATTGGAATGATCATGGATGATCTGCGTAGCCAAAACTGAGCATAAGATGTTGCTTAGCAATGTATACCTAAAGGAAATACTTCCTTTCAGGAATTATGTAGTATAGTGGACAGAAATCATCTGGCTTAATAAACTAATGTTGTATATGACCTTGAGCAACTTAAAGTCTTCTTTCAGAAAACAGTGAATTTTACATTTCTTCACTCTCCAAACTTGGATCTTGGGTTATCCAGAGTGGCTTCCCAATAGATTCAAATCAGTGAGAAACTGCATTTTACTGTGGTTTTATTTTTAATCAAGTTTATGCAAAATGAGAAGGTATATGGATTGTGCAATTTGTGCCTATAACTGTGTTCTTTTAACACCGGAAAATTAAGGAAGTTTTTCAAAGAACCCTATTCCAAGTATGAAGTGTGTGGCATGAATTTCTAAGGTAGGTTTTGCCCAGATCACCTTTATAATTTCGATGGTCTTTGTTTTCCTTTCTGTCTACACTTGGACATTGGGGAAAAAAATGGAGCGAGCTAGCTTTGTAAAAGTGAAGTCTTCTGAATTAGGCACCTCAGGAATCAAGGGCTTGTAACGCTTTCTAAAACAAAATTTGCTGCAAAGTTCCTTGGGTAGAGACACTGAACACTATTGAGTATTCACCCTGTGATAGATTTTTGTCCCCTGGGCACTAATAATAATGTGACCTTGGGCAAATTATGTAAACCTTCCAAATTTAGGTTTCCTCATCTGCAAAGTGGGTTGCTGGGAAGATTAAATAGGGGAATCAGGTACGAGTGCAGAGAGGGCCTGACACATAGGAAGTGCTCAGAAGATGCTTGTTGCTGTTGGCTTGATGATGTGTCCCTTCTTCTGCAAGTACTTTCCTCTATCTGAAGGCAAAGGCTACACAGCAACTGGTCTGGACTCTTCCTCACCAAATAATTAAGGATCCTGAGCTGTGGCAGGTGCCTCTCTAACCCAGCAAGTGAGAACCAGCAAATGGAGACCCTGAGTTATTTTTGTTTCAAGTCAAACTCAATGTTATTGGACACTCTTTCTAAACAAAAGTAACATAAAATAAGCCCTTAATAGTATTTCAAACCTTCTTTTAAAATTTAATAATGACTTTCTAGGTATCCTTTTAACAACTTTATAAAAATGAATCAGATCCTTGAGTTGAAGAAAAATAACTCCTTACATTATATATCTATAAGTAGCAAAATTAGAAATATATGTAGTAGATCATATACCAGGTAATATTTTAATATTCTAGATTTTCACTTCAGAGGGAATTATGATAAATTTAAAAACAAAAGTATAACATCCTGTGAATCTTGTAACAAATATTCTGCTAACTAGTGTATCCATCCTCTGCTTCCCTTTCCTCTCCCTCTCCTCCTTTCCCCTCCCCTTTTTCCCCTTTCCCCTCCCCTTCCCTCCCTCCCTCCCTCCCTCCCTTCGTTGCAACAGAAATGTATTTCTCACAAGTCTGAAGATGGGAAGTCAAAGACCAAAGTACCAGCAGAATGGTTGTCTAGTGAGGGCCCACGTCCTCCTAGATGACAGTCTTTGCACTGTGTCCTCAAGGGTAGAAGGAGTGAGCCAGCTCTCTGGGGTCTCTTTTATAAGAGTGCTAATCCCAATCAAGAGGGCTCTGCCAGGGGCCCTATCTCCCAATATCATCACCTTGATGCTAACCAATATTTTCTAACTTCCATTTGCTACTCTAGTGTTAACTTTGTTATCTCAATTTTAATAATAATAATAGCTGACATTTGCTGATGACTTGCCTTAACTTACAGATGTTAATGCATTCATTAACATCTCAATCTCATTTAATTTGAAAGAGATAAAGCTACAGCCAATACACACATTACCACTTTTTTTCCTATCCTGTTACAAAGAATGTGAGGTTGTGGGAGAACTCTCTTTAGGCATTGCTCACATCAGGACACTTGAAAAACAGATCCTTCATATCCTTTGGACAGCTCTTATACTTCAATTGGCTTTAAGCATTATCAGAGCATCCTTAACATGATGTCAGGTCCTAACACTGCTTCAGTGAAAGCACAGAGACAAGCAAAAGATAATTGATCTCTTTTGTGCCGCATGACATACTCGATGAGCAGCAGCATATACTGTGGTGTTTGGCATCCATAAACTGCAGAGAAATTGAAATGTATTAATGAACTTTATGCATGGACAAAGAGTGACCTAGGATATCACTGAACTCTTCTGCCTTCATAACCAAAGGTCAAAATGGTAATAGTCTGTTCCTTGTAGAAAAATGTTGAGTTTTCATTCAGTGAGATCAAGACTGACCCACTAACTCAACCTACAGTAGACACTTGCTGGAGAATAGAACACAATAATGCATGTAAAATCGTTTTATAAACTAAATAATTTTACAAATATGAAATTTTATTACGGTTTTAGTCTTGTATCTATTAAATGTATACCTATTAGCATGCACACTTTTTTCTTCTAGCATCAAAGGTTGCTTAAAATAACAGCGGAACATTTAAAAGCAAGAGAATTCCAATTTACTGTCATTCAAATTATGTTAAATCCAATTCAACTTTATAAGCGAAGGAACATGTGAAGGATAAATAAGAGTTTGATAGTTAAGAAGACAAATATGTGCAGATAAATATATGTGATGGTCAAATTGATTATTACAGGACAATGTACTGTATTAATAAAACAGACTTAAGTTTAAATGTATTGTGCAATGGCAAACCTAGTGCCTTCTTGGAAAAACATGCCTTA